CTCATTAGCATATGCCACACCCCCTGACATCAGGGGCCCAGCGGTGGACCTGCAAGGCCAGCGGGAGTGCGAGGAAGCCCCGCCAAGGCCCTCCCTGGCCCCAGGCAGGCAGGGGTGGGGAGAGGCGGGGAGGAAGCAACTTACTCTCCCTCTTCTCCTGTCTCCTCCTGGCTGAATGAGGGCCGGAAGCGGGGCGGCCAGAAGCAGGGGGCGGGGCTTCGTTGTGTGCCCCGCCCCCACACCTCACCCGGGGGAACGGCGATCCCCTGTGTTCCCCCCGAATCGACCTCTGATGACAGCCCATTAAGGCTGTTCACCTATCAGCTTCCCAAAGTACCTTCCGTCCTCAGCAAGGCGTTCTCCAGGTACTCATCCCCGGAGATCGGGCGTCCATCCAACTCCAGCTGAAGGGTTAAATCACGCACAGCCCAGATAAAAGTTGGGAAGAAACAGATGAAGTCATCAGGAATCTCATCATCTTCCTCACAGTTCTGCCTGCCCGAGGCCTTAACTTTGATAAGCTCAGTCAGTTTTGTCACGTGGCTGGAACTGAGCTAAGGAAATGAAGATACAGTTCCCCCAGAACGACCCAATAACTTTTCAACTGTCCCACATCTCTAATGAGAATCTAACGTCTTACTTTCATTTCTACTAAGTGTAACAGTGGCAACTTTCCACGGGAGAAAAGACACCCCAAAACCTAGCAGAACCTCTGAACCTCCTAACAGCACTGCACTCCAATAGCTAGGCTTGGCATGAGAGGTGACCTGCTTAGGAGACTAAGGTCGAATCTGCATTTATATTTCCCACCGGTATCCCAGCCTTCTGACTCCGTCTTCAAAAAGGCTGTCTACATTTGGTTTCATTTTCACACTTCAAGAGTGCTAGAATACCTTTGCACGTCTGCATATGTTTATCGTCCTTTCGTGGCGGCTCCTCTGTCATTGCACCTCCACACTGCTTTAAAAGAATCTTCTCCCAAACAACATTCAAACAATCATAGAGAAAGACAGTGTCACAGCAGCATGAAACTGATTTAAGAATGCAAATGCAGATTCGACCCAAGATCGGTAATGTACCACTCCAAAACCTCCCCATTCCCTCCTATTTGTCCACTAGCCTTCTTGTAGCAGCCAAGTCATCGATTGCCTCCACATGGAAATCCAGCCAAACTCCCACACGTTCCTGCTGGTTTCAAAAAGTCTGGGACCTTTTCATCCCGGAAAAGATCACAGATCGCTTGCAACTATCGGAGTTCTTTCCCAAATCCTCCAATTTCACAGAGAATTTATTTATGGAATTTATTGCTAACACAAATTTACAACCTCATAATCCGATTGATCTAAAACCGCTCTATCTTTAAATCTGAAAACTCTGAGATCCGCGCTATACTACTCCCAAATTAAGACTATAGTCCTCTTAATGGTTTCAACATTGCCTAAAGCACAGACAACAAAATAGATGAGATGTTATTCACTTCCATAATTATCTGCTATGTACTTTGTACCTTATAGACTTCAGTACTATACTTTGATGTTACTGCTATATTATGTTTGACAACACATTGATAATAAAAGTTAAATTACTATGTGTGTATGTATTTAAATTCTGCTATTTTTCTAAAATAAATTTATTCTCTTTTAATGTTGGCCTGGTTCTTGGCTCCATAAAAGTGTTTAAAGGGACAGATCTCTGTAAACACTGGTACCCAGATCTCACTTACTACTCCACCTCTCACGGAGGCCTGCCATTTAGCTAAATTCCCCCAAGAAACTGAAGGCAGCAATTCAGCTTCTTAAATCTAAGCTGGTGTCAGCTAAACTGCCAATATTGTGGTGTGTGTTTCCCTTTCATGTGCATTCTTTCCCTTGCGCTTAATTGCCTCTTTGCTGCAACGCATATCTCTCAAGGCCGCTGGAGGAGTTGCTGTGTCTCTGCACAGAATGAGTCGTGGGAAGCTTTTTACCTTGTTTTGCTTTTGAAGCCGTTAGTTCTCAACCTAATGCCCGCGCGCGGGAACCCCTGTAATTGGGTACTACGTGGGGGTGTGTGTATACGAATGCCCTATAACCAATTATGCGCACAGATTGCCCGCCATTCCTAACAGTGTTCATGTTACTTCATCTATAGCTTTTTCAATAAAAGTAAAACCTTCCTGGAAGCGTGTACTTCATTGTTTTGCTGTGGGTCCTGACAGCTGGCAGGGGTAACATAAGCCATTGCTTGGTTGTCTGTAATACCTACATTTCACCTCTTCTTATTCCACATTTTGAACAAGTTTAGGAATCACACACACAATTATTGTCAGACCCCTGTGTTTCATTAACTCTGGTTCTTCCAGCAAAGCAGGAGAGCTAGAGGAGATCCGGATGCCTGAATTCCTCCCCCCCCCCAAAAGGATACTGTAGTTTCTCCAAAGCAAACTGGTCAATGGTGCCCATGCTGTTATACACAAAGGTGCTGCTAAGCAGAACGGAGAGGGCAAACACCCACGAGTCGTTCTGAACATTGCTCTGCAGGGAGAGGATGCAGATGCTTAGCACAAAACATTGGGGCTGTCTTCCATCAAACAAGGAACATTGCTCTGCAGGGAGAGGGTGCAGATGCTTAGCACAAAACATTGGGGCTGTCTTCCATCAAACAAGGAATGGGGAACTTTGTTGTCACTGCCATAGTCTGGAGTGATTTCCAAGATACTCCCAACCCCTTAAGGGCAGTCTGGTGTAGTTTCCTGCGAGTGAAGCCTCCACAGTGGCCTTCCCTTGTCGCTATTTCCCTCATACCGATTTACCTTCTCCACATCGCCCAGTCCTTCCGTGTCCAATAGCACCAGGGTATGGTCAGGCTTTCTGGGGTGAGGACGACACCACATCCAGATGCCCTTGGTGTTTTTGCTTGTACTGTGGCACCCAGAGAAAATCCTGGGAGAGGGGGCAGAGAAGACAAGAACCGTGTGGTTCTACCATTTCCCTGTTACGGTATATCGGTAAATGAAACCTGCATTCAACTGGAATACACACACACTTCTGGTTGTTCTCAGAAACCTTCCCCGGTCCCACAAACCATAATTTTATTGAGACACGTGATAAGACAATGCAATCTTCACAATTTAACATTCTGCCCCCACAGACTTGTTCTGCTTTGGAATGCTCATCTCTGTTCTGAGGCAAACTTCATACCTCAGGTTTACACCAACAGATCTGGAAACAGCTCATTTTCATGTTTCTTTCATAGTCAGTGCATTTTGGGATTTATTTATTTATGGGATTTTTTATTCCGCCCTCCCCAAACAGGCTCAGGGCGGATCACAACAAATCGAGTCAAAGACTTGTTATAATAAAATCACATGAAAATCATGAAAACATGACGTAGCAAATTTCAGTTTTCTGGGAGGCCCGGAAGCACTTAAATGGCCTGGGCCTACAATTCATTCTCCGTTTTGAGGGAAATGATATACACACATCTCGTTTTCACACTGCTCTATAAATCAGAATGCCTTGGACTATGGGAGTACCAAATTTTAGCCTTCTGCCTGTTGCTGAAGTACCTTAACTGTTTCGATAACCCTATGTTTGAGGCCCAAGGCTACACACAAGGTTATCTGGTTAGATGTACCCTCCAGCATAGAAAGAGGATTCGCACAGAGCCTCTAAAGACTCTAAAGAGTTGGGGGAAATAGTCAAAATCCTCCCTTCTTCTTGACCCCTAGAAGGAAATCACCTGAATAGATTAACCAATCAATACCATTTACTTTCACAGGCTATTCTTGCATTGGCTGTCTGCCAGGTTTCCCTTCCAGGTCAGTCTAAACAATAGTACATAAAGGTAAACAGATTAACCCTATAATGACTGGATTAGACCTTGCAACTCATACATTTCCAACATAAAGTACAGGGAACACAGGATCGTCTGAGCTATTCCTACAGTGAGGGAAATAAGTGTTCATGATAGAGGCATTGCCAAAGGTGCCAAAATCTCTGTCACTTAGCCGAACATGAATATATCCCACAATCTCACCTCCTTTATCTTTTCCTGCCAGCTCATTCATGAGGTGAGACTTGCCAGTATGGGACAGTCCCACAATGGCCACCACTACCACTGGCTGGTTGATTCTCTGCAAGAGCTGTAGGGCTTCCTGGTTGACCTGCAGTTTCTCACCCGGGTTGTTCTCTATTAAACACATCGGTTCCACCACGTTGTTTGGTTGAACCATTCTAGGAGCAGTCCAGGAGGAAGATGGTGGAGGAACCTGTAGAAACAAAACCAGTGTTCTGTAAACAGAAGGGTGCTAGGTTGACGCTTCACAGACACTAGAGTACCGTGTTTCCCCGAAAGTAAGACATCCCCCCAAAATAAGACCTACTTAGTTTTGCCTCACTGAAATATAAGACATCCCCCGAAAATAAGACCTCCTTGATAATAAGGCCTCCCCTGAACATAAGGCCTCCCTGATAATAAGGCCTCCCGAAGCTACCATAACTCTGGACTCTGGGCCATAGCGGCGGGCGCCGCCGCGCAGCTCACTGTTGGCCGCAGCACAGCTGGAGCAGACAGGAAGTGCAAGGTCTCTTTTAATCAGAGAGCCCACGCCGCTGCCAGGACAAGCTGCCGCCTGCTGTACCGTATTCTTCTTCATGGAAAAATAAGATATCCCCTGAAAATAAGACCTAGCGCATCTTTGGGAGCAAAAATTAATATAAGACACTGTCTTATTTTCGAGGAAACATGGTATCTGCAAGACTTGTACGGTCTCAAGACAACCCAAATCAGCGAGCAAGGGGATCACAACCAAATGAAGAAAGATGACTTGAATGCCATGGCACAAAAATGAAATGGGCTGTTACTGGGATGGCAGGCGTCGGGGTGGTGGGGAATGTCTTACTGGGTAAAAGTCAGCAAGAATTGCTGCCCATACGATCTTCCAGCTTGGCCCATCATTCAGTGTTGAATGATTGCTCAGAATAATTGCTGCCCATACTGTCTTCAAGCTTGGCCTACCATTTAGTGTTGAATGGTTGGTCACAAGACATGGTTCCCATACTACCTTCCAGCTTGGCCAACCAGGCAACACCAGTCTCTGAAGATCCCTGCCTTGACACAAGGTCTACCTTTACCGCCATGAAGGACACCATGGCTCAGTGGGTACTTTAGTTTGGAAAGAGTCATTGGACCCATGTGGTTCCTGTCTTGCGGTCTGTTTTGCAGAGGTTCTGTAGAGAAAGCTCCCTGCTGCAGCTCAGTCATACAGTAAAAGGTAAAGGTAAAGGTTCCCTTGCTCGAAAGTCAGTCGAGTCCGACTCTAGGGTTGCGGTGCTCATCTCCGTTTCAAAGCCGAAGAGCCAGCGCTGTCCGAAGACGTTTCCATGGCCATGTGGCCGGCATGGCTAAACACCAAGGCGCACGGAACGCTGTTCCCTTCCCACCGAAGTGGTACCTATTTATCTACTTGCAATTTCTTGCTTTCGAACTGCTAGGTTGGCAGGAGCTGGAACTAGAGACGGGAGCTCACTCCGTCATGCGGCACACTCGGGTCTCGAACTGCTGAACTACTGACCTTCCACAGCCTGCAGTTCAGCGTCTTAACCACTTGAGCCACCGCAGTTCCTAGTCATACAGTACATGCCTTCAATTCATAAGACTCCAGATTCGATTCCTGGCATCTCCATTTACAGGTTCTCGGGGACACTTTTAAGGCCAACAATGTTTTACTCTAGGTAGGGTATAAGCTTTCGTGTGCATGCACACTTCTCCAGATACCAAATGTGCATGCACCCAAAGGCTTATACCCAGAATAAGTCTTCGTTGTTCTTAAAGGTGCCACTGGACTCAAACATTGTTCTACTGCTTCAGACCAACATGGCTACACACGTGAATCTAGGTTCTCAGGGAGGGAGACTAGGAAGTCTTACATTATGCACATGAGATTCCTCTTTCTTGGCACAAAGATCATGGGCAAAGGGTCACCTACTAAATTACTTTGGGACAATCCAGAGCAAGGTGAGGAATAGAAATGCAGTGATCCTAGAGGGCAGTGGCTTCGTTAAAGCCTTCTCTCCCATCGACGAATATCGTTGCCGAATGTCCGTCCAATTCGTAACAGGAGGAGGCTTTCGCTTGCGAATCCTTGCAGGGCAGACATCACTTACCCTGGGTTCTTGCACTGGCACCTGGGGGGCCCTAGGAATCTTTTTCCTCTTCGGGGTTGTCCGGGGAAAATTCATCTCAGGATCAATCATGGGCTCATTGGAATTCTCGTAATTTTCCTGTTGGAAGGGGGAAAAAATTGTTTGGCTTCCCGATCCTATCTCCCTGCTTATTTTTAATGGAGGCTGTGTTGTTATCAAGGGTAATTTCCTCCAGGAGCGCACAGGAGCGGAGCTTTGGCGGTAAAGAGCCCAGGGGGCAGGCACATGCAACAAGCCCCACCCCCCTGCTCCCAGCAGCCCCGGGCCATGAGGAGCAAGAAGTAGCCAGGTAATCTGCAGAGCCCCCCCCCCCGATCAAAAAGAGTGCAGTGGCGCCTTTAAGACCAAGTTTTATTCAGGTACAAGCTCTCCCTCCTCTGCGAGGACAGATCTACACGTTCCCCCCCCCCAATAGCTAGCAATCCAAAACAGTCCAGTGGAGCTTGAGCGGTGGGTGTTGCCTTCTGACACACTTCCAGTGATGTCAGGGGGTGTGGCATATGCGAATAAGTTGTGCTAATGAGCTCTGCTAATGAGCTCCTGCACCTCTTTTTCTACAAAATGACCCCTGGTTGTTATACATGTAAGCCTTGTAAAAATATTTATTAATTAAAAAATGCATAGTGGCCCCTAGCCTGGAAATACTGCCCTCAGATGGAGGCACTTCCTACAGAGAGCCTGGGAATAAGCGGGTGAATTCCAAGAGGGAGAAGCAGGGGAAGAAGGAGCTGAGGGTGTGGAGAATTTCTAAAGAAGAAGCTCCTGAGGAGAAACGACTGTGGAGACAGAGAAAGGCAGTTGGCGGGTGGCCATCTTCTGGAGCGAGCCTTAGATCCTGATATCACTTACCCTAGGCTCTTATACCAGGCACCGGGAGATACATTTTGGTGTAGTGGTTAAGTGCGCGGACTCGAATCTGGGAGAACTGGGTTTGATTCCCCCCTCCTCCGCATGCACCTGCTGGGTGACCTTGGGTAAGCCATAGTTCTGGCACAGCTGTTTTCGAAAAAGAGCAGTTTCTGTCAAGAGCTCTCTCAGCTCCACCTACCTCACAGGGTGTCTGTTGTGGGGAGGGGAAGGGAAAGGAGTTTGTAAGCCACTCTGAGACTCCTCTGGGTAGTGAAGGGTGGGGTCTAAATCCAATCTCTTCTTCTCTTCTTCTTCTTCTCCTCTTCTTCCTCTTTGGAGCTGCCCAGGGAGCTTCCTGTTGGAAGAAGAAAAAAAATTGGTTTGGCTTCCCAATCCTATCTCCTCCGAAGGGCATTTCCTGATATTTCCAACAGAGGCTGTTGTTCCACATGTCAGCCTTGTAAAAATATTCTATTTTTAATTAAAAAGCATGTTACATGTTTTCACCTGCGTGGTGGGGCCTGGCCTGGAAAGACTGCCCTCTAGATGGAGGCACTTCCTACAGAGAATATGGGGGGAAAGGGGTGAACTCCAAGAGGGAGAAGCAAGGGGAGAAGAAGCTGAGGTGTTTGCCTCCGGAGGGTGTGGAGAATTTCTTTTAAAAAAGAAGCTCCTGTGGAGAAAAGACTGGAGATGGAGAAGGGCAGTTGGCTGGAGTGAGGGGGCCTTAGATCCTGAAAAAGTGTGGCTTCTCGGTGACCATAAGAACAGAAGCTGAGGTGTTTGCCTCTGGAGGATGTGGAGAATTTCTTTTAAAAAAGAAGCTCCTGAGGAGAAAAGACGGTGGAAACAAGGTGAGTGAGCCTTCAGCCCTCAGAGAGTATGGCTTCTTGGTGACTGTGAGGAAAAGTGGTTTGAGACTGTCTTCTCTTTTTACCCTAAACTTTAGACTATTCATTATAATTTTTATTCGTACCGTTTGTTAAAGCTCCCAGTCTGAATCAATTGTCTCCCTCGCCGTTCAATAGATATTATTTGTTTAAGCGTGTTCAGGCTTCGAATGGGGCATCCATATTTCTGTGACTGCTAACCTGGCCCTTTTAATACTAAAAGGGTTACATTTTGGGGAGCTCGTCTGGAATTCAGCATCACAGGACTGTGGCCCTGTTCAGTGCCTGAAGCTAGACTCCTGATGGAATCAGAACAGGCTGCATTATAACAGGGTATACGGTATAATCTGGTGGCACGTTGATTAGAAGACTGGTGTAAGGGGATGTTGTGTATAACTTAAGAAATCTTTTCTGGTCACAGGCAATGTTCCCTCTAAGCCGTGGAAATTCTACTTTGTGAGCTACTGGCATTAAAATTGTGAGCGAGTGATTTGGCTATTGCATAAATTAGTTTGCTCTGGAGTCATCCTTTCTGAGCTAAGACAGAAATCTGTGAGCTGGAGGCCAAAAAACTGTGAGCTAGCTCACACTAACTCAGCTTAGAGGGAACACTGGACTCACAGGAATACTAGAGGGGCACAAAGAAGGGAGAGTGCAGAGTGTTGTACAGGCTTTTGAGGGTGTGAGGGATACACACACAATACCTAAATATCTACTGTGTGCCGCAAGTGCATATCTGACAATATCGTTCATGCAAGACAAAGATGTGCAAGTCATGATTTTTTAAAATGGCTGAATGCCTCATGTGGGCCTCCCCCCCAGAGTGCCTGTCTCCAGGAGGCACATTTCCATGGCCATTCTTTGTAAAGCATCCCAGGCAAGGCCATAAAAGCGGGTCAAAACAGCACAGAGAACTACCCCAGCCCCCAAAACACCACCTCCTGAACCAGATGGAACTCCAGGGGGAGCCTCAGCCCCACCAGTGGGGTCAGGGAACCTTGGTTCAACAAGGTTTTAAAAAGACCCAGTAAATATTTCTGGCTTGGCCACACCCAGACCCAAACTCTTCCCATCCATACCAGATAGAATGCTGCAACCATTCATACCAGATAGAATGCTTGGGGATCAAAACTCTCATTCACAATGATTGGTTCGTTCAAAGACAACACATCTGCAAATCGTTCCAGCACGGCAGACCAATCTGAAAAAAAACAACACATCACCATCAGAATGTTAAGTACCAGTGGATCTCTGGAAATTCCCCTTAACGTTCTGATTTTAACCTACTGCTCCAATGCCAGGTTGCCAAATGATCAGAAAAAAACAGAGTCCAGTCTGCTCTTCTGCTTTTAACGGCAGCTTGAGCTGAAGGAATCAACAGGTGATACTTTGCGTGGTGTGGCAATAAGCCGTATTGTCCACAAATGCCTGAACATCAAGTTGCTGTTGCACAGAAGCATGATAAAGATCTACGTGTGTGTGAAGACATATGAAGCTGCCTTATACTGAATCAGACCATCAGTCCACCAAGGTCAGTACTGCCTATGCAGACTGGCAGTGGCTCTCCAGGGTCTCTGTAGGAGGTCTTTCACATTAGCTACTGCTAGAGATGTAGCATTTCCGGAAATTTTGAAGCTCAGAAAAAAACAAAAACAAAACTGAAACCTTTTTATTTTCTTCTGACAATAGCACCGCCTAAAGGAAGAAATGCATCTTGTTCTTGCATTGGAGAGTTCAGTTTGTAACCTAGGACTTGCTTGTCCCCAGTGCACAGAAATTAGATCAATCTGATACCATATATATATATTTTAGAAATGATTTGGAAAATGTTTGAACACCTTGTTTTAAAATATTTTATTCATCATGTTAAAATAAAACGTTTTATAATCAATTTTTTTTCTTTTATTTTTTCAATTTTTCCAATTTTTCGGAAAAAAACAAAAAAGGCTTCGGGGAAAAAACTGGGGTTTTTTCCGAATTTTCCCCTTTTTTTCCCGGGCCTTCACATCTCTAGCTACTGCTTGATCCATTTTAAGTGGAGATGCCGAGGACTGAACCTGGGAGAACCTCCTGCATTCAAGGAAGAGGCTCTTCCGCTGACCCAAAGTCCTTCCCCAAGGCCAGGGCAGTAGAAATTATTCTTCAGCTAGTGCAGCCAAGTGGCTTGAGCCAGTTTGAATAATCAATCAGAACCTTTATTGGCATATCGACCAGTGTTCCCTCTAAGCTGAGTTAGTGTGAGCCAGCTCACAGTTTTTTAGCCTCCGGCTCACACATTTTTGCCTTTGCTCAGGAAGGAGGGCTCTAGAGCAAACTAATTGATGCAGTAGCCAAATTGTTTGCTCACAACTTTAATGCCGGTAGCTCACAAAGTAGAATTTTTGCTCACAAGACTTCACAGCTTAGAGGGAACATTGATATTGACCGAACATACAGCAGGGAGACAAGGATACGTCCTTTACCCTTGCAACTGAAGCAATCTTCTCCTCTTAATAGCACAACAGAGAAATTTAGCTACAGATTCTATGATCTCAGGATTATGGGAAGATAATAATGAAACGATCTTATAGTCATCAGATTGCCCTACTTGACTCTGATAAAGAGATTCTAGAAAAACAGCACGAATGTCACAGTAAAAGGAACAATACAGGAGAACATGTTCGATACTTGCAATCTCTCCCAGGCCACAGGCACAAAACCTAGACGAGTATGGGATTTTTCTTGAACCTCCCGTAAAATACAGCAAAAGGGAGAACATTAAAACAAGCTAACATGAATGCTCTTCGCAGATCAGGGGTTGTCAGACGAGCAAAATATTCAGGCAAAGAACCGTTAGAGGACATCCCCCACCTCAGAGGCGAGCACCTACCAGAGGCAAGACTTCTAGATTCCTGCATTTCAATATCAACAAGTCTCTCCTTAATGCCTGAGCCAGTCCTAAAGAAGAGGGGAAACATCTGAAAAATATCTGGTACAAAAAGTATCCTCACCCTTCCCATTCGAAAATCTACTTCCAGGTGAGTTCTTGGGCCTCTGGTTCAGGATGTAATCTTTAAACGAACAAAGCCGAGCCTGGAACATGGGGTGCAGAATGTCTGAAGAGACAACCTCCCCGTCCTTTCCATCCGCATGTGGGGAGCAGAAACAAAACACTTTCTGGGAGGGGAAGAGGGTCTGGATACAGCTGATGGTTGTGTTCTCTGAGGCTGAAACTGAAAATATATAAGAACAGAAACCTATCATGAAATGCTAAAAAAAAAAAAATCTTGACGATTTATGCCAACAATCCCCTTTTCTGCCTTCTTCCCACTTTCCAAATCAAGCCCAAGCTGTTGTATCTTTAAGACTTCCAAGCAGACCCCTTTCCCAAAGAACCCTGGGAGCCGTAGTTCTGGGAGAGAGAATTCTTAACACCTTCACTGAACTATAATTCCCAGGATTCTCTGGGGAAGACCACAGCTAAACTGGTTTTTAAAAACTGACTTCGGCTATTCCACATTCTCATTTTCCTCGCTTGTAAGTTCTTGTTTCTTAGAGGGTGTTTCTGTTCCACACTTGTTTTGCTCCCTCTAGTGGTCAGTTCTATATTACACTGGTTAATGTCCAGCATACCTCCCATCAGATTAAAACTGCAGGTTTTTATGCCGGACACAGGGCTAGGACTGGTAGACCACCCAAAAAAAAGGGAGAGAAGAGACTAAAATGGCAGGGAAAGA